TGGACACCTCAGGGTTGCAGATGAATGAAAGATGGGATGTGGCTTCAATGTCCTTCTCTCCTACTCTTCACCTAAACTTCAACCAAGTTGGAAAAGTTGGGAAAGGCTAACTGTAGGAGCAATGAGACATGATCCACAATCAACGCAAGTTGTGCCAGGAAGGTGGTTGGACACAGGCTTGGGACAATCCCCATCTTCTGGATTTCCTTCTGTGCAACAGCTTGCTGATAGTTTTGGATGGCTTAGAGTGGCAGAAGAACGAGGGATGGGCCATAACTTGAATGCCCCTTTCTCCTACTCTTCACGGTAGCAACAAGAGGCATGATCCAAGACCCAAGAAGGTAGCTATATACTTGGGGCGATCCCTGTGTTCTGGATTTCCTTCTACACAAAACTTTTGGATGTCTTGGAGCAGCAGAAGAATGAGAGATGGACCATGACTTGAACACCCCTTTCTCCTACTCTTCATGGAAACAACAATGGACACAATCCAAGACCCAAGAAGGTAGCCATATACTTGGGGCGATCCCTGTGTTCTGGATTTCCCTCTACACAAAACTTTTGGATGTCTTGGAGCAGCAGAAGAATGAGAGATGGGCCATGACTTGAATGCCCTTTTCTCCTACTCTTCATGGAAGCAACAATGGACACAATCCAAGACCCAAGAAGATAGCCACATATATGGGGTGACCCTGTCCACTGGATTTCCTTCCGTCCAACAACTTGTCGGTGCTTTTGAGCGGCTCAGTATTGCAGAAGAGAAGCTCAGCCCAGTGCGGCAACACACAACGCAAATCAGTGAGGACTTTGCTGCATCCAATTGCTTGTGGGAATAAGGGGCAGGGGAGAGAGAAATGAGATTACCAGCCTTCCAAATGGCTTTGATGGACCATGAAACGAATTCATGAGCAAATCATCGTGCCAATAAAACCTAGATTTGTAGCCTGGTGTCACTTAATGGACACGCGGTCCCTCCTGTGTGACCCAAATGGCAATTTCATACGGCCAAAACAGACTCAGCGCACAAGGCTGGCTTTGCGCTGCATATATTGATGGAAAGGGCAGCAAAAATCCCTTCTTCTTTTGGATAGCAGCAGAAACTTTCCACCTTTCCTCCATTCAACAGCATCAGCCCCTTGAAGCTGCACTACGCTTCACTCAACTGGAAAGGGAAATACATTTGGAACAGAGATGGAGAAAGCAGAGACTCAAGCAACAAGGCCTAAACAATATTTTCCAATCTGACCCTTCCTTCCCCATGCAACTAAAGCTTCCCTAAGAGATGGTCAATCAGCTATTGCATAAAGATCCACAAAGAAGGGCAGTCCACCTGGCTCTCAGGTAGATCTCTAATGGTCCACCAGGCTCCTAGATAGATCTCTACCTGAAGCAACAATGGACATGATCCATCAACTCATCTCTCCATGCCTAGGACACCCAATGGGCAATCCTCCTTGCAGTATCTGCCTCAACACATTCATGGAACCTACACACACTTGGGCATGATCACACTATACATTTACAGTCAGTTCCACCATCCACAGCTTGAGAACATTCCAAGAAAAAGGAGAAACAAAAGAATTCACCTTTCCAAAGCAACCCTTAATTGTGCCATTTTCTATAAGGGATATCCTTTTGCCGTTGTATATAATAGGACTTGAGCATCCCTGGATTTCAGTATCCACGGGGGGAACCAAACTCCAATATATACCAAGAACACACTGTATAGTCCAGGCACGGGCAAGCTTGGGCCCTCCAGGTGTTTTGGAGTTCAACTCCCACCATTCCTAACAGCGTCAGGCCCCTTCCTCAGGAAAGGGCCCGAGGCTGTTAAGAATGGTGGGAGTTGAACTCCAAAACACCTGGAGGGAACGTTAAAGTTGACCCATGCTTAGAAAAGATGCTTCAACATCAAGCAAGAGGTGGTACAGAGTGTGTTGGATTTGGGTCCTAAATGGGGATTAGGAATCCAAATTTGGGTTCTAATCCCCACTTCACCGTGGGGCACATTGGCCAGAGGCTCTGGAGAAAGCACCAGCCAACCTGGTATGAAGGTACAATGGAGATCAATCCACAAAGTAGTGAATCTTCAGTTAAATGTGTCTATGTGTGTGAGAAACACAGAATACACCACAATTAATGGGTTTTCCCATTCCCCCGGCCAATGACCGCTGTGCTGTGAGCAAACAACAACAACAGAGAAAGGAAAACAAGGTTGGGCGTTGGAAGTCATGTATATGCTGTGATATAATTGCCCAACCACGTCAGTTTCCCAAATAGAACATACGATCCAAGTGGCAGGTGGAGACACCTCCTTCCTCAGTTCACATCCATCACCCTTTGTGAGTGTTGCAGAATGTCAACCGAAGACTCCTCTAATTAGGATTCCCTCATTACCGCTGGCAACTAAGCTTTCAGCAGCTCATAGACAAGGTGCGATATAACTCCTTGATGTCCTCCTCCTCCTCTTGATGTCCTCCTCCTCCTCCTGACTTTGAAGGCTGATCTCTTTACATTCTGGGGAATTCATGCAAACGGTGACCAAGGAGACGCTGCCATGATCACTCACGCCATGCAACAATGAGCTCCTCGTTCCTGACATAGGGCAGATGGCCAAAAGGGAGGACAGGATGCTGCAAGGACATTTGAACTGGTCATAAAAGTCTATTGCCCTGAGGTGGGAGAAGGTAGGTTCTGGTATGTGGGAAAGGGCAGGCACCAGATGTTTGGGGTGATTGATAACATTGTGGAAGTCCAAAACATCTGGTCCAAAACAGTTGGCCCATGCCTGTGCTATGAGTAGGTCATCCACGTACTGAAAGATGTTGTCTCTGTACTAAAGGGGCGTTGAAGTCCAAAACACCTGGAGGACCCAAGTTGGCCCATGCCTGTGCTATGAGTAGGTCGTTCACATATTGGAAAAGGTGGTCCCTGTACTAAAGGGGAATTGAAGTCCAAAACACCTGGAGGACCCAAGTTGGCCCATGCCTGTGCTATGAGTAGGTCGTCCACGTTCTGAAAGATGTTGTTTCTGTACTAAAGGGGCGTTGAAGTCCAAAACATCTGGAGAACCCAAGTTGGCCCATGCCTGTGCTATGAGTAGGTCGTTCACGTATTGAAAAAGGTGGTCCTTGTACTAAAGGGGCATTGAAGTCCAAAACACCTGGAGGACCCAAGTTGGCCCATGCCTGTGCTATTGGTAAATCATTCACGTACTGAAGGATGTTGTCCCCGTACTAAAGGTTGAACACTGTGAAAGCCATCCACTACATGGCTACCAGCTTCCTCCCAGTAGACTCAAATCAAGGGAAAACTTTATGAGAACCACCACTCCTCTTGACATCCCCCCAGCAATAGCAAGGGTTTCCCTCTGGGCAGCTAGACCAGGAAATCCCAACTGGAGGGCCCACCACGAAGGAGGGTCTTCCTCCAGGGCAAAGCAAGAATGGGCAACTTGGAAGTCCCTGAATAGACTCAGAAGCGGAGTGGGCAGATCAAAAGACAACCTGGCAAAATGGCACGACCTAAAAGGATCCCACACCTTGTGTGACTGTGGAACAGAACAGACAACTCCGCATCTGTATGCTTGTCCATTGTGCCCTGCCTCATGCACAGAGGAGGAATTGTTGGAGGCTACAGACAATGCCGTTGCTGTTGCCCGTTTTTGGTCAAAAGATATTTAGCCACCTGCGCTCCTTGTATTTTTATCAGTTTTATACTAATTTATGCAATACTTTGGATATGAAATAAGTAATTAATTAAAGGAATTGTGGGCGCTGAAGTCCAAAACAACTAAGTTTTCCCATGCCTGGTTTACATACATATGTTTAAGGAGTTAGAAACAAGTCCAGATTTCGGTGGTGAACTTATGACTCTGTAGCTAAGGCCCTACATAGACAGGAAGTAGTGCAAAAACAATAAAGATGTATGGCACACCCAACCCTTGTGCGCCTTGGCGTAGACCTTCAAGAGAAGACTAAACCCATAGCAACACAGTTGGAGCAAAGAACCCTTACAGAAGTCCAGCTGGACACTGAGGTGGCCATCAAGGAGCGAGTGGCCATTGGGCACAGAGGTGGGCATCAAGGAGTGAGTGGCCATTGGGACATTTAGGTGGGCATCAAGGAGTGAGTGGCCATTGGGACATTGAGGTGGGCATCAAGGAGTGAGTGGCCATTGGGACATTGAGGTGGACATCAAGGAGTGAGTGGCCATTGGGACATTGAGGTGGGCTTCAAGGAGTGAGTGGCCATTGGGACACTGAGGTGGGCATTAAGGAGTGGGTGGCCATTGGGACATTGAGGTGGGCATCAAGGAGTGAGTGGCCATTGGGACATTGAGGTGGGCATCAAGGAGTGAGTGGCTATTGGGACACTGAGGTGGGCATCAAGGAGTGGCCATTGGGACACTGAGGTGGGCATCAAGGAGTGAGTGGCCATTGGGACATTGAGGTGGGCATCAAGGAGTGAGTGGCCATTGGGACATTGAGGTGGGCATCAAGGAGTGAGTGGCCATTGGGACATTGAGGTGGGCATCAAGGAGTGAGTGGCCATTGGGACACTGAGGTGGGCATCAAGGAGTGAGTGGCCATTGGGACACTGAGGTGGGCATCAAGGAGTGAGTGGCCATTGGGACATTGAGGTGGGCATCAAGGAGTGAGTGGCCATTGGGACATTGAGGTGGGCATCAAGGAGTGGGTGGCCATTGGGACATTGAGGTGGGCATCAAGGAGTGGGTGGCCATTGGGACATTGAAGTGGGCATCAAGGAGTAGCGGCCATTGGGACATTGAGGTGGGCATCAAGGAGTGGGTGGCCATTGGGAAGGATGGGTTGGGCCACCTGGGATGTTGCCACAAAGCAGCTGCAAAATACTGAGCAAAGCAAACCAACGAACCGAAAAAGTCCAGCCAGGATGAGCAAAAAGGGGTGGAAAGGAGAAGCCCACCCACCGCCCAACCACAACCCCGGCGTTTGGCTTGACCTCAAGGTTGGCCCTTACCTGAGAGATCCCCATAGTCCAGTTCTTCGGCGGAATTGGGCAACTGAGTAATGCCTTACAAGTAAAAAACAAGCTCATTTTTCTTTGCGTTCCTCAAGGGATGAGAAAACAAAACACTTAAGCACAGAGGGTGAATTGCTCAGGATGACTTCAAAACACAAAATAATACCACAAAACAGAAGAGCCAACCTCTTGCCATCTGACAAAAGCTTGAGCTCTGGAAATAGCTTGCGCTACGTGAGGCACTCCAATCGTTTTAACACACACGTATGTGGGTTGTGTTTTTTTGGGAACGGGAGGGGGTTTCTTTTGCCTCTTGAAAAGCAACCGACAGACTGAGCAGAAAGGTTTCTTTGTCTGCACCACGGAAACACACACAAACATGGAAGGCGGACATTCAAAAGCACTCATTCACCACGGCATGCAGCTCCCCGCAAATGGGATTGTTGGACGTTGCCGAAATAGAGCAATGGGTTTATTTTGTCTTCCCTCCAGGTGTTTTGGACTCCAACTCCCACCATTCCTAACTGCCTCAGGCCCCTTCCTTTTCCCCCTCAGCCGCTTAAGCGGCTTAAGCCGCTTAAGTCCTTGCCATTGTCCTCTTGGATATGGACAGTTCAGTCAATCAAGGGATCATCTGCATCCTCACATTGTGGGAGTTGGAGTCCAAAACACCTGGGGGGGGGGGGCAGGTTGGTCCATGCCATTGTCCTCTTGGATCTGGACACTTCAGTCAATCAAGGGGTCATCTGCATCCCCACATTGTGGGAGTTGGAGTCCAAAACACCTGGGGGGGGGGCCGAGTTGGTCCATGGGATTGCCTCCTATTTAGGCGTTTATACTTTGGATACTGTCCCTCCAGGTGTTTTGGACTCCAACTGCCACCATTCCTAACAGCCTTCAGGCCCCTTCCTTTTCCAAAACACCTGGAGGGAGGGCCCAAGTTGGCCATGCCATTGTCCTCTTGGATCTGGACACTTCAGTCAATCAAGGGGTCATCTGCATCCCCACATTGTGGGAGTTGGAGTCCAAAACACCTGGGGGGGGGCAAGTTGGTCCATGCCATTGTCCTCTTGGATCTGGACACTTCAGTCAATCAAGGGGTCATCTGCATCCCCACATTGTGGGAGTTGGAGTCCAAAACACCTGGGGGGGGGCAAGTTGACCCTTGCCTTTGTCCTCTTGGATCTGGACACTTCAGTCAATCAAGGGGTCATCTGCATCCCCACATTGTGGGAGTTGGAGTCCAAAACATCTGGGGAGGGGGCAGCAAGTTGGTCCATGCCATTGTCCTCTTGGATCTGGACACTTCAGTCAATCAAGGGGTCATCTGCATCCCCACATTGTGGGAGTTGGAGTCCAAAACATCTGGGGAGGGGGCAGCAAGTTGGTCCATGCCATTGTCCTCTTGGATCTGGACACTTCGGTCAATCAAGGGGTCATCTGTATCCCCACATTGTGGGAGTTTGGGACTTCCAACTCCCACAATGTGGGGATGCAGATGACCCCTTGATTGACTGAAGTGTCCAAGTTGGCCCATAAGTATGTTGTCCACGTACTGAAGGAATAGTGGGACTTGAAGTCCAAAATGCTTGGAGAGAAGGCCCAAGTTGGCCCATGCCTGGTTTACATACGTACGTTCCAGGAGTTAGAAAAAAGTCCAGGTTTCGGTGGTGAATGCAAACCCTTTGCCGAGATCAACCAAGGCATCGGCTGAGAGATATTTGGGACCGTGCTTTTCAAAGCTGCACCAGCCGTAGGAGGAGATTGCAATCTGTATTACTTTTTAAATATTATGATGACAAGGGGAGACTCGAAGGATCACCTGGAAAAGTCCCATCTGTTCCAGGAAAGTCATCTCAAAGCTGATACGGCAAGGAGATTTTCTTGTTTGCAAAATGCAAAAGCTGCCCCACTTTCACAGCTGCTTTCCCCCCAACTTCTTTCAAAGTGATCTTAAGCATTTGTAAATGTTTGTATATGTGTGTGCAATTCATTTTGAGGGCTGCGTGGATGCAAAGCGTTTTCAGATTCCTCGGCCAAGTCTATGAGAAGCACAAAAGGGAAGGAGATGATGGAAGCAGGTGGAGAGGAGGATGCAACAGAGGAATTCCCATTGCCTTTTATCCTG